GCCTCGAGAAAACGCGAGAAGACTTAAATTTTAGGTGTAGACATTGTCCGGAAACTTTTCGACGGCAGTGTATATCCATATACGAAAGCATATAATTTATTTAAAAAAAAGAGAATAGACGACATTTTAGACGACTTAATGACGTTTTATGATATATCTAAACGTCAATAATACATTTTTAAGACGTTATACAGAAACGTCATTAAGATGTCACAAAAAAGACGTTTTAAAGACGTCGTTATTTAGTCACTTGACGTCATTCGATCAGTTATGACCAGTTTTTTACATCATTTTGACGTGAGTCTGTTACTTGGGCTGATTCTTGTGTCGTTCATCTTACCTATTGCGTCACTGTCACTTTGATTGAGAGACGCTTTATATTGTGTACATATGGTATATCCATATACGAAAGCATATGATTTATTTAAAAAAAGAGAATAGATTCTTTTAAAATATATGTTTCAAAAAGTATGTAGAAAGTATGTTTAAAAAATATTTACATGTTTTAAAAGTAAGTAAAATAAATTATTTTGTAAATTTAAATAAATTTTTTTCTGATAATAAAAGAAACTTTAATTTGAAACATAAAAAAATACTTTTAATATTAGAAAATAATTTATTCAGATTTATAAAATGATTTACTTGTATTTTATTTACTTTTAAAACAAGCAAATATTTATTTAAACAGTTTTTACATTTAAAAACACTAATTTTCTCCTTGTAAAGAAATCACTTGTTTATTTTTATATATAGATATTTTAAATCAAAGAAATCACTTTTTTTATTTATAAATTCATAATTTTACAGCTTATTTTACAAATTTAAAAAAATATTTCTTTATATTTATTATATATTTTCTAAAATTTAACAAATATTTTTTTAAGTTAAGAAATTATATGTAACAAAATATATTTCTTTCATTTAAAGAATTTTTTTCTAATGTACATTACCAATTTAAATTTCAATTTTCTTATTTCTTTATTAATTTAATAATTATAAATAATTATATTTATTTTTTTCGTGTGCGATATTTATAGAAATATTTATTTTAAAAATTATATTTATT